TATGCATGTTTATTTTATATTTATTTTTCTATTCCTTTATACACTATTTCGAATTCATTTAACGTTTTATTTTATCTGCTCTGCACTCATATCAAAACAAAAACAGTTCAACACTATTTATTATCCTAATTATCACTGCTTGTTGCCATTATTGCTACTTGCTCACCATAAACCTAAACAATATCTGCAGGTCAATCATACTGACCCCATACTTTGTATTAGCTCAATTTTATTTTTTATTTCTTTAACAAATCAAAAATTTTTTGTCTTTTATTCTTTTTTATTTTAACACAAAAGTTTCATATGAATAATTTTATATGATTAAATTATAAAAAATATCATATCATACTTGCAAATTTCATCTCTTTTGTCTCTTTCATTTGCTTTTGAAAGCATTCAGTGATTTTACATTGCAAAAGTTAGCATTAAATAGTAGTCATGCGTGAAATTACAAACATTCATTCTTATGACTTGCCCCCTGATGAGCACTAGTGCTGTGAGTAGTATTCATGCTTGCAATTAGACAATTTAAAGTACTTAAAAAATTATATCATTAATTAGTTTATTTATTACTATTTGTTAAAATCTACATTTTTTTTTAAATTTTTTTCCATCAAAAAGAGCACTTTTTATTTGTGCAAAAAAATTACTCATTTAATTAACTCTTTTTTTTTTCGTCTTTTGTCCTAAAAAATTTATCAGTTTAATTGATAGCAAAGACAAAAAATGAAATGAGTAGTAGCACAAATGAAGAATAATTGCGTGAAAAAAAATTACACCCCACGTATCTCAAAATTAATACTAATTCTTGTTTAGTTGATCGAAGTTAAATCAAATACGACGACAATATTTGCGTCCTTGTCTGATTGCTCATTTCAACATTTTTTCTTTCTCATCTCTGAAATAAAAAAGTCTATTTCTCGTACTCTAAATTTGATTTTCTTCATTTTTTGCTCAACATTTCTATCTACTAATTTCTTCTTTCTCACATAATTATGGTAGCAAGAAGTTTATTAAGTAATTTATTATCATTTAATAATTGGGCAAATTGTATTATAGCATTTTCAAGAAGTTGCATTAATTGCTTTCATTATTATTAATTATAAAAATTTTTTGGCACTATTATTTTAGCCAATGACGTAAAATGTTATATTAACAAGATGATTATTGCTTACACACTTTTTTGTGCTTTTTTACAAAATTCATAATTTATTTGCCTGATGTGAAGAATTTTTATTGTTAAATTTTTAAGAATGAATTATATATTCAACTTTTTGACAATAAATGATATTGTTTATATTTTGTAATCAAAAACTATATTTTATAAAAGCATGCTTGTTAAAAAAAATACTTGCAGTGTTTGAAAACTATTTGACTAATAAGATCAACAATACAAAACTATACAGTATTTTTTTTAATGTAATGAAACTTAATACTTAATTTTTATAATTAATTTAAAAAAAATTTTGGTGTAAAGAAATTTTCATTGTGAAAAATTTTCAGTAGAATAAAAATTTCATGCACAACTTCTTTTCTATTACACAGAGGTTGTTTGATCGTAACAACAAATGGATTTTTAAAATATGATCATGTAATTCGCAGAACTTATCATAGAAAAAATATTGATGTAAAATTTTGAGAGGAATGATAGTTGAAAATGAGTCATTTAAAAATGTATGATGTTTTCAAATTGGTAGAAATTACAAAGGCAATAAAAATACCACTGATGCTCGAAACAAATAAGTAAATAAATAAAAATAATAAATAATGATAATAAATAAAAATAATAAATAGTGATAATAAATAAATAAATAAATAAATAAATTAGTTCCTGCTATTCCTGCTATGAATGAACCCAATATTTGAGTCATTTTGGTGACTTTTCTACAAATCGAACAAAATCGGTTTGCATTTGTTTGCTCAACTTTTACGTCTTGCCACAATTTTTCGTTTAATTTTCGAAGTTCAGTAAGTTACTATAAAGTAATTCTCATAGCTTATACACTTCATTTTAAGTGTTACCGAAATCGAGTGACTTTACTTGCTTCTTTTTTCACTTTTGTTACAAAATTTATTATTTTTTGGTGTTGTCTTAAGCTAAACTTGCTCAGCTACTACCACTATAATCATTTTTTTTTCTCGTTTTACTTCATTATAAACAATGGTGAATTTTTAATGCAGTCTTAAATGCAGTTGCATTTTTGGTACAGGAAATTTTAGCGATAAAAATTGATATTTTGTAAAATTTTAGCAAGTTTATTTATTATTAGTTGCGAATTTAGTATAATGAGATGCAATTTTTAAAAATTGATTAATGAAAAGGGTAAAGTTTCTGAGATAAATGAAGAAAGGATACAGCCATGTGTTCAAAAGATCTGTTCTTAGTAAGGTCTGAATGAGAAATTTGCATATAGCAGTTCATTTTACATGCATTTTGACTTAATGCAATTTATTTATAAAGATAATACCGCCAATTAATCCTTTATCGAATGAATAGATAAATAGTAGACAATCTGAACATACAACTTTTTCAGTTTCACTCATTGTTATTAATATTTTTCAAAATTATCATCTCTTCTTGCTATTGTTATATGACTATTTTCATGTAAATTTCATTTTTTGTTAAATACATGAAGTGACTTTAACTTGTGCTTCTTAATAAGCAAAAAAACTTGAAGGACTCTGAGCTAAAAAAATTTTACTTACTGCTGCAAGAAAAAACAAGTAATAAGAAAATGTAGTATTTATCGTGATTTTATCTAAAAATCAATTATTAATATAAAAACTTGAAAAAAATTGATTTGTTTGGGTAAAATAATAATTTGAATAATAATAATTTATTTTAAATCTTTTAGTTTAGATAAAATGAAATTTAAAATAATAGAAAAGAATAATAATTTGTTTCAAATCTTTTAGTTTATGCAAATTACAGCATCACATGAGATTTTAATTTCATCTTTTCTTGAAGTTAAGTCGGAATATTAATGCTGCAAGAATAATGAAAGACAGTTTTGATAGGATAGATTTGATAAGGCTATAAATGAGAAGTCGGATAATATTAAATGATGGATTGCGCATTGTTTATTACGGGTCATCATCTAAATTCGTCAAATAAAATAGTATTCAAATAAGTGCTGCATAAAAATGCACTCTTTTACTTCAATTTACGACATGCATTCACTAAATTAAAATAAATAAATAAAAATTTAATTTTTTTTTATTTTAAATAATACAAAATACTTTTGAAGATAACAATAAGAATTTGTATTCACTTTTGACATTGCAAAAAATATTTTTCACTGAAAACAGCCTCGAAAATTTTTGCTTTTGACAGAATTAATTGTCTTTTAGATTTCTTTTTTTGAAAGAAAAGAAAGGAAAAAATGTTAGAGAACTAATTATTAGTCATCTTTTCATCATGATCAAATTAATAATTGCAGTTTATTTAAAGATATGTGATCAATGATATTGTGTTTCATTCCTAACAATATTGATGGGCATCAATGATAAAAAATTTTTTTAATTGACATCAAGATTTTGAACAATTCTCATGTTATTCTTTTTTACTTTATTTACTTAATATGAAATCAATATATTTTAAAAACAATTATTCAATAACGAACAGTAATTAGAAATAAGTTATTAATATTTATATAAATTATTTTCTATAAAAATAAAATTACAATCAGATATTTATAATTCATACTAAATTTGATTTTGACTTGAATTTATTAAAAATTTTAAAAATACATTTTTATAAAACTTTTTTGTCTTTCAAAGTTTCTGTTATTTTTAGATGTAACGTTGATAAAATATAATCATTCATTATTATTCCAACAAAAGTATTTTCATTATCTTTTTTCATATTTCCAGTATAATTTATAGATAAGTCATGTTTACAAAGCATTAATGTGTTTTTAACTTAAATAGCTATGATTATGTTAATTATAAGATGAAAAAAGTTAATCATCAAAAATAATGATATTAGTTTTTAATTTAAAAAACATTTGTTGACATTTATCAGAGATTGAATATCTCCACTAGAATACTCAGAATGAGAAGAAAACAAAGGTTAACAAGATTTGTGCGGAAGAGCTGTTGAATTGTTAATGATCTAACATGGTTCGTTAACCTCGTTGTTCTTTGTATTCTTCTTGTAGAAACAGATGCAAAAATGAATCATGCATAGAATATGCAATGATATATTGATGTTACGCACATAAGATTTTTGATACTTTTAATTTGGTTACTTATTAAGACTGATATAAACAATGATTAAAAAATTGATAATTAAATAAAGAATTTTGCTTTATTAAAAAGCAATAGACATATAAACTTTTAAATATTTTGCTATTATCAGCATTATCAAGTAGCGATACTGTCAATATAATTTGCGAAAAAATGATCTTTATATAATGAGAATAATTTAAATTTGACATTATTTATATCAAAAATATTGATAGATTTAAAAAGTATTAAATATTAAAAAGATTTAATAATAATTGATTTTTTTCTTTGCAAACATTTTGGTAATCATTTTATATCTTAATAAACTGTAGTTAAGCATTACATTTGAGATTATTTGAAGATTTTTTTGAAATTCGAAGATTGATAATCTTTGATGATATTAACTGATTGCATAAATAGATTATTTGCAATATGATGAAGTTGAAATATTTCAATTGAAATTAATGAAATGCTTTTTTGGCAAAAATTTTAAGCAGTTTTTAAGTGTTTTCCATTGCTATAAAAATAATTAAAGAATGTTTGGCTTTTCTTACAAAAGTACTTTTATTAAAAGTTTTAAAATTTTGTACTGTTTCAATGCATGGTTGACCTTGTTTTAATATATTTTTTTAACTCGTTTTTCTCGATAAAATTGTAAACAGCATTTTATTAATCGTACCTGTCCTTACCAACAAGGATGAAAATGTATTCCACTTCTCTTTGCTTACTTTTTTCAACAATTTTAGTAACTATTTTTGCTTTCAGTATTAAATATGGTACTATACTTTCGCAAATTTTCGCTTATTTGGCTAATGGTAGTATTATCAGGTAGTAAACATTTTCTTACTTGTCTGATAGTATATTTTAAATTATTAAACAATAACAAAAATAACTGAAAGTAATTAATAAATTTGCAAAATTTTATTTTTTTTCATACATTAATTATTTAATAAGCAAAATATTTTTATTAATAAACTTATTAATTTAAATTTTGATAGTTTACTAACTTTTTGAAGAAAAGTAAGTATTTCATGAAATTGTCAAACAATTTTTGATTTCAGATGTGAAAGCCGATTCTAATTTAACAATTAATTCTTACGATCCTGAATATGGAGTATACATTGGTGAAATGCCTGATCCATCAGATGCAGATATTAAAGGACGAGTGTATGTAGTGAATGAAACAACTTTACAGATCATCAACTTTACTTACAATGGAAAAGCACCAGGTAAAATAACAATCAAAATAAACTAAATGTTTTTTTCAGATAATTACTGCTGATTTGATTTCAGTTTGCTTCATTATTTATTTATTTTTTTAAAATAAACAAAAATTTACTTCAAAAAGTCAAAATATTATCGAAAATTATCATATTACTTTTTAAACTGTTCTAAAATTCAATTTTAATAATGACAAAATCTGTGCGAAACTACAAAACTAATAATTCACTCAATAAGTTAGTGCAAAATGAACTTTTCAGAATTAAAATTTAAAAAATAATTACTTCTTTTAAAAAAACCTTAGAAAGATAAAGGCTTGCATTCATAAAATTATTAAATTAGATGATTTAATGCGTTTAAGTGTATAAATGATTTGCAATTATGCGAGTAAGAAGGATATTAGCGCCCCCCTGCAGAGCAAATGCATTAGTTGAGCTCTCTTGAATTCACAAAATGTTTGGGAAATTAAACTTAATTTCTAGAAAAGACTTTCAAATTTTTCTTCAGTGCTTTAATACAAAATATCTCTATGGACGAATTCAAGTTTTAAATCTCTATTGTAGCAAGACTGCAAATTTAGGCACACAGTAATTTTATGTAATCAAACAAATTCCAATGTTACTAGCCAATAAAACACTTCTGACTTTTTTGCGCAAGCGCTAGAAAAAACAATTTATGTTATGCATAATAAATCTAGCCTGAAATGAAAGCAAATAAAGTTTTCTTGAATTGAAATTGAAGTTGTATAGAAAATTTATACGCTAAATTTTTTCAACAATGCAATATTTGTCACTTTTAGTGCAAAATAGAATCTTAATAACTGTGCACCAATTTTCTAAAAATAGTCTTTATTACATTTTTATAATTTATCAGAATAATTATTTTTTTAATTATGTATTTTTGTAGGAGTAGAAAATTAACTACTGCATTTCTTACATTATTTTTCTTGAGAATCTAATATCTGTCTGCTACTGAATGAAGTTACCAAAAAAAGTTTCCTATGCAATTTTCTTATCTAATTTAGCATTATTAATTCTTACCAATTACAAATTTTCCATAAAGTTTCCCAGTATTTTGCATCATTTCTTGATATCCGTTTATTCATTGCATTTTTAACCTTAGAAAATTACACTCTGAACCTCAAACTTAGAGCAAATTTAGTGAAGTTAGTAATTTATAAAAATGATATAATTTCTCTTTTTTCTATTATTTTTTTTTCATTTACAAATATTGTAAATTTAAATTTATTTGGTGCCTGTTTATAATATTAAAATTTTGATATTTTTAAAATTTTATAAATCACTGCTTAGTTCAGTAAATATTTATTTTGTTTTCTAAATTAATTTTGATTTTTTTTACAAATATAAGAAAGTTTTTTAATTACTTAAATACACCACGCAGTTTTAGTTTTCTAATGAACAGTGACACAACGATATCAGTTGATAAATCCAAATTAGCTCAATTCCTTTTTTGATTTTGAACAGGCATTTAGAAAGTAATTTTACTATTTGTAATCTACATTTTGTTTTTAAATTCATTAATTTAGTAAAATTCTTGGTTGCTTATAAAGAAAGCAAAATGGCAAATGATCCATGATTAAAAAGTTGAAAATAAATCTTTAATAAATAATATGCAAATAAATCCATTTCACATCACTACAGAACTAAGTTTTTATTTTCTAATTCTGAACAATTTAACAACTTTGAACTTTAGTAATATTTAGAAAATTACGCTTAAAACTTACCAATTTAAGTAATAAGAATGTTGAGATGAACTATTTAAAATAAGCATCTATTCACAATTGAGATGCCTGATTAGCCGTTAAATTCTATAAGCTTACAATAACTTTTAATCATCTTTTACAATTTTTTTTGCAGAATATATTAGTGAAAAATATTTTTCGACCAAAAAATTAATTCTTTGGCTAAAAACATTGAAAAACACCTTTAATAGGAATTAGCCTTGGGCTTTCATTAATTATAACCTTGAGCTTAACATTGCTTCGTTCTAAATTTTAAATTTCAAGGTAAAATTTTTATATTTTTAGTTTGTTATTCCTTAAAATTCTTTAAACTTTTGAACTATAAAACAGTTATTCGTTTTTGTTTGATATAAAACTGATTTTCATACATTTCAAAACTAGTTTTAGATTTATATTTCTGGCTAGATCGAAGCGATACACCAACTGTTGATGGTCTTAAGATTCCATCATTTGAGTTCGGGTACGTTTTTGTATACATATAAATTTTTTCAAATTGCTATTTCCTTGATTAAACCATAAATAAATTGATGTCTGAACTAAAATATTTTTTTGAATTAAACTGTATTATATTTAAGGATTGCTCCTATTGGTCCGTACAAAAATGCAGAAAGAGTGGTACTGGTACTTCCTGACCTTCATAAAATTACTGCATTCAAAAGTTTTTCTCTATTTTGCTATAAGTTTGAGGTACATTTGATTTGATAACTGTTTGATTTTAAATAAGACTTCATCAAAAGATTTTTGTAGTAAACATGAATTAATCTTTTTTTTTGTATTTGCATTTTCTAAAATATTCTTACAAATTTTGCGTTCTGTATTTAAATGAATTCATAAACATTGCTTTTATCTTTAAAACGATGCTAAAAGCTATGTTTAGTACAATAAACATTTCAGCACAACTTTGGTACAGTTCTGATTCCTGATACTTTGATAATCCCGAAACCACAATTTTTAAGTAGTGAACTGCGTGGTAGCAGATACAATGTACGCTCGGGACCAATTTTGATAATTGATAGAAGAACAATTAAGATTTTTGCATTCACCTTTGATGGTGATAAAGCACCAGGTCAAAAATTAGATTACATGTTATCAATGTTATTAACATTCAAAGCTAACAGTAAAAATAACATTGCTTTTTTTTCAGATGGTTATTTTTTTGTTGGTCGAGGATCAAATGTTGCGCATGATTCTGGAGTGAAAGTACCAATACGTGGAAGAGATACGGCTGAGTTGTAGGTTTTGGAATAATTCTATTGTTTGTTATGAATTTTGAATCTTTCTCACTTAATAATTTTTAAATCTAACCATTTCTTTTAGTAATTGAAATATATGATTTTAGTAAAAGACAGCAGCAAATCAGAGGAAATTAAGTTTTTTAATTAAAAATAACTTATAATATTGGCAAGGTGGCAACATTTCTAGGATAACTGCAATGAATGAGCGATATAGTGGTGGAAAAGATATAATAATTGATTTGCCAATGGAATACGATATTAATCATATTGATTGGTTATCTATTTATTGCTACAAATTTCGCGTTAATTTTGGGCATGTACCGATATCAAATATTTCTCAAAGGATACCACCTTATGTACCTCCACAAAAACAAGTTTGCTTTTTCTTTTTATGAGCACTAATTAATACAAAACTGCACAGTGTCATAAATCGTTACCTTAGCGACTTTAATACGAAGTTAAAAGCATTTAGATAGTAGTTTGTTTAGAAACTGAGAACAGATTGCATGAAATGAATTCTAAAATTATGCTGAAGGTGAAATGCATTATTTTAATTGAGTGAAAAAGCTGAATTCTAAAAATTAAATGTTTGAGTTAGAGCATTTGTTTGCGAGAATTCACATTATGGAGTGCAATATTGAACTTTTCAGTTCGACGATATTGAGTTTTCCAAGATTGACGGTTGGCCACTAATTTCATTGTTAGGGACAGAAGATCGTATGAATTTCACATTCCAGTTGGGACCACCAGGTGGTCGTCGAGGTTATCAGGTAACTAACTCTTTGCTTCATTGCTCTGCTATGCAAAAAAAATTGGCTAACTTCACAATTACATTTATAGTTTATGGCTCACGCAAGACCAGCAAAATATGTATGGTATGTAAATGGTTATTTGGCTGATATCTATCTGAAACGAGGTGTTACATACACTTTCAAGTAAATTATACAAATATTTGCATATTTTTCATATTGTTAAAGAATTTAGTGTGATAAAATCAGAATTTTAATACTTTTTAAGTGGATTAAGTAATTACCATTATGAAATCACAAAACTCTTGCCAAATTACAAAAATTATTTTAAAATTATGCTCGGATATGTTTTTGTCTTACTTTAATTTACTGTTGACCATCAGATAATAACTCTTTCTTATAGTGTTGAAGGTGGCAATGATAAATCTACTAGTGATTTTTATAATCCGCTGTATATATCAGATGATCCATTTGGTGGGTATGCTAAATTATCATATGATGAACGAGAGGTAATGGAAAAAACAATTGCTTGTATATATGTGCTAGTAGTAAAGATAATATTATAGAAATAACTGATTATCAGTGTTTATTTTTTTACTTCTGAATGCACTCTTTTTAAATTACTAAATTATAAATATTATAGCAAGTTAAAGTGGTAGCAGGGCATAATCCAGATGAGACTGCTGGTCGTCTATGCTTATGGTCACATGATAATGGTGATGAGGTGGATGCTGATAAATTTGATAGCTTTATAGAATATCGCCGTTCCCTTAAATTGAAATGTATTGAAACATCTAAAGCAGCATCTTTTCAATTCACACCATCAGCTGAAACACCTGATACTTTGTACTACCAGGTAATCTTATTTTTTGTCACTAATTAAACGAGAGGTAATGGAAAAAGTAATTGCTTGTATATCTTTTCATTACCTGTAAATATTATTTTTGCTTCTTTTACTGAGATATTTAAAATTCAACGTATGCTTATAATCTATTACTTTACTAATTGTTTCAGAGTTATTCAACTTATAATATGGGATGGAAAATTCACATAGTTGATGAATTACCAAAAAATATAGCTGATTTTGTAGAAGAACCATATCAGTATGATATTTGGCTGCAACAACATAATTTGCTCAATGCTCGAGAAGGATCACCATCCAGAGCGCAATCATCATTTAAAATTATTTCGCACATTTTTATCTTAATATTAAGTTTTATGATATTTATGGTTTCTATTGCTATAATACAATGAAATGATATTTGGTACTTATTAAATGATCTCTTGCAGCCTTGTTTAGGTAAAGCATTTTTTATTTTAAGTTTTATTACTTAATTCTAGATCAATTCGGATCTCATTCTTAACTGAAATTTAAAATTTCTTATTACACTTTTTTTCAGCTATCAGTCATAATATTCGATATTCTAAATGTTAACTTTCCAGCGCTATTTCCAAGAAGATCAAATAAAGCAAAAAATGCAATTTTCTAATCTGTGAAAGATGAAAAATTTATACAGAATTATTAAATTGCTCAAATATATCAAAGAGAAAAATTTTTACTTTTCAGCAAAATTTGCATAAAAAATTGAGAAATTTGTGTTGTCAGAGCTGCTCTCATTGCTTCCAACCATCATTATGAGACAGCTGTAATAAATCCTAAAACTTTTACTATGTAGGCGAATAAAATATAACACTGTGCATTTATCACCCACCATATATAACATTCTTCATATTGCTAAATTCGCAAACGTTGAGAATACCCACAATAATCCTCATGCGTGTTCAGTACGACAAATTATCTATCATCTTCAAAAGCTATAACATCATTCATACATGCTACAATTCCATTTATTTATTGATACTTCAAGCAGTCAATTATGGTTGGACTTGTGTTACCATTATACACAATTATTATCTAAGAAATCTCTCATGATTGAAGACTGCTTACAAAATCTTGAGAGTGATCTATTATTTTGACTGTAATGTCATTTATCCCACGAATAGACCTATCCTCAGTCAAAGATATTTTCCATATCTTGATGTATTTTGATGACAGTAACCAAATTCATTGGTTTTATTGGTAATTGTATTTTTCTTACTAATACTGTTTTTTGATATTATCATTATTTCAGTACTTCTCTCACGTAAATTTATAAAATTGTTTGTCAATAAAATTTGCTATCACATTATGTTATATTAATAAAACTATGCAGTAATGTTTGAACAATCTTTGAGCAGTAAACAGTATGCATAAGTTATCATCCTATTGTTTGCTAATTACTTTAACACACTAAATTAATAATTCACTTCTTTACAACAATTTCTTTGCAGATTCAATTTATACCGCAAGTTATCTTAATTTCGCATTTATCATAAAATCTTGCAAGCAGAATTTAATATAATTCTGCTTTATTATAAATGACAAAGTTCACATCACAAGAACGTATTTAAGAACGAGGAACGAATTTATTATGAGAAGTTAATTTATATAAAAGTACATAGAGCATTAATGATATATTATTTCTAGCTAATAATGCAATTAGGAAAGACTAAATCTGAAAAATAATTCAACAAAATGATCAAATCACTAATACAAGTTTTAGAAAAACGTAAAACCATTATACAGTATGCCAAACTAAAAACACGTGCGAAGAACATTAAAAACTGTAAAAAAAAAAAGCTGAAAACATGAATCACAATAGAGATGATGATAAAAAAATGCTTAATGATATGGACTGGAGTGACAACAATACACAAAAATGAATACACTAAAAGACTAAATTGACAGCAAAAATTAGTAATACTTGAAATCATTGCTTTGAAAGTTAGCTATAACAGATTTAAAACCAATAAATAGCTACGTATTTGCTACTTGTCTTTTTTTCTCTTAAAATATATGTAAATGAATATGGCTATGAAGAAAGAAGCAATGGAATAGAATAAACCAAAAATAAATCAAAGTAATTCATTTGCATATAGAAATAAATATACATTACTTACACTTCCGTTCCAAATCTTACCTATTCACTGGTCGTGGGTCGTGTGTAATGTCTTAATGTCTACTGGTTAGTTGAGTTCAAAATCTGTGTTCAAATTTTTGCTTCCTTTATTTTTGAATTGCATCTCTTTCAGTCACAATAAATTTTCAAATTACGATTCAGATGTTTTTTTTTGGTTTTTTTTGCTGCAAATGCTACACGCATAGAAAATTTATAATACGACAAGTTTGCTTTTACTAATGATAGCACACTTTCCCATTTTCAGTAGTATTTAATGTATTGAGAATGTAAAAATTATTTATATTTAATAAAACTTCTCAAGAAAAACTGAACAATTCTAAATGACTACACAAATGCAAACTTGCTGATGACACAACAGCGCTCAGTTGAAAATGACAGTTATAAAATAATCACATATTAATATAGTATAAACAGTTATAAAATGATGAATGAATCATTTCTATAACGAGACAATTTGATACTATTCAGCGGTTTGTAACATTTGGCGATGGTGATGATGATGATGGTGGTGATGATGAGATATATCAGCAAGTAATGTTGCACCATTAAGGCTTGTAAATTCAACAGATGGAAACGGCCTCGAGGGCGTAGTATCAACATTATTACCATCAACAAGAGCCACTACTGATGCAGAAGACGATAAATTACTGCTGGTAACAGTTGAAGGCTGACTTGAGCTTGATCCAGGGCTCATGGATGGTATACATTGATCTAAGTCATTATTCCATTCACTATTAGCAACCGAACGTCCAACAGTATTACTTACACTTCCTGTTGTTTTATTCCTCATTAAATTCTTATATTCATGAATACGCACTCTCCTTCCATCAACTACACATGTTCGTTTTGGCCTCGGCCTGTAAATTAAGGAAATGAGATAATTTGCAAATTTTACTTCTTGTTATCAATTACAATAATTAGCATAATCGAAAATTCTACAAAGACAATGTAATTAAACCTATAGCGATAATCTGGATGTTGTTCCATATGTAATTTGCTCAGCCGAGACTGCTCCTCATAATATGGTTGCTTCTCAATGTTTGACATAGCTTTCCATCGTGACCCTACAATTATAATACTTTCACTATAGATAATTTCTAATTTTACAAATTAAACATGACACAAAGATTGATTTTTACTATGAAATTATTTTAAAATTCCGATACATACAATATGAACAAGAAATTCTAAATTATACCAAGTATTTTCGATATATTACTATTATGCATATCTGGACAAGCTTTCAAGATTTTTCTTCGCTCATCACGTGCCCATACCATAAACGCATTCATTGGACGTTTAATGTGATTTGGTGATTTAGCTGGGATCCGTGTCGGAACACTATCAGAAAGCATTGCATTTCCGGTGGCGCTTTCGCCTGAGGAAGCAGGAGAATGACTTGTAAAAGCTGATGCTGAAAAACCTAAATTATAAATGCTTTTCATTAATAATACATTAGAATCTACATGGAACCAACCATTTTATATCTCCAGTTCTATCTGTAATAGATTACATCTAGGTCTAAATCATGTTATTTACTTGCTGAATGTTAACTTACTTTCTGAAGCGAAAGAGATCGAAGAACATGGTAATCGGTTGAGTTGTTGTTCAGAAGATGAGTTGGATACTTTTGAACTGCTGTTACTATTAACCAGTGATACCTTACGCGATTTGGAAAAATCTGTGGAACTGAAGGAATGATGGTGTAAAGTAAGCAATTATTTAAAAATCATTTATCAGATCTAAACATACACTGAATAAATTCAACTATCAAGAAAAGTGCTTACTAAAAAAATTACTTCCATAAAGTTATTAATGAGTTTTTTATCAAATATTGAACTACACAATTTATTTTTTTGCACTGTACAAACTGCATTTAAAACTTTATATAAAAAGAAAAAACTGTTTCATTTTATTAACATTAAATTAACGCTTATTTGATTATGCTCACAGTAAAGGTTACTATGAATAAATTTTTAAAAAAATGCAGTCTGTACAGTTTAAAAAAATTAATCTCTGAAAAGCCTCCACAAATTTAAATGAATTAATTAAATTATCACTTTGAAAAAAATGTTCAAATTTGAAATTAAGTATAAAAACAAACCTTTCCAGTTTAACTTTACTCAAATTGAGTGGTGTCTCACAACCACTTCGATCATTACAATCAATTGCATTTGTTCCCAAATGACTGATAACATTATTTCCTCCATTACTAACACCTTGAGAAAGTACTGTTGCTGCTGATAGAGCATTACAATCACTTCCAAGTACTGTTCCATTCAAAAATTGACCGTATGTTGTTGCTGAATGATTATTATTTATTCATTCCATTTAACTAAAATGTACAATGAATTCTAAACACATATGAAATGATTAAATGATATTTTTGAACTAAAAGAAAGTGTAAAAAAGCTATAATATAATATAAGAATGCAGATCCCTGATAGTACTCTATTATTATTAAGAAACGTAAAATGATAACAAAAAGTTCAAAAGTTCAGTGACTCGAAAACTTTGAAATCTCAACATCATCAAATGTAAAGATTAAGTTCTATCATTAATTGTCAAGTAAACTTTTCACCTTTCTTTGCATTTAATCATTTAATTATACAGCCATTATCATGCATTAGTTGAAACTGTAATCAACTGATACAAGACTGCCCATTTTATACAGCTGATACTTGAATATAATAAAACAACAATAAATTTAAGCGAATTTAAATAAAACAAAAACGTGATACCAGGAGGTAGCATAAATCCTAATCGCACACTACTTGAATGTTGTGCAGCATGAAGTGCTGATGCCATAGCAAGCAACCGTTGCTGATTTTGTTGTTGCTGAATAAGATATTGCTGTCGCAGCATCAGTTCGTCTAAATTGTCTGCCGACATATTCTGTAAACAATCATTTGTTTTCAATATGCTACCAAGTTATTATCATACATTTGATTGCTATATTAAATTTGCAATTAGTTGAAGTCTCGTAAACGTTTATCCTTTAATATTAACGAATAAAATATAGAAATAATGTTAAACATTTTTTTCATCATTCTCATGCACTGCTGTCAAATTTTCAAAAATTTAATATGTAAGCTAGATATTTCAGAGAATAAATATTAAGGTTGAATAATTTTTTTCCATTTGTATATGCTATTTTCAAATAATTTCAATAATTTATGAAATAATAAAGAAAATATTTGTAGAGAGAAGTATTAAACTCTATTACAATAAGAAAATGAAGATAGCAAACAAATAAATTTAGATAGGGCAAAGGTGAAAGTGCAAAAATATTACGGAACGGTGTACGGTAATATAAATAGAGACAGTATACTGCTGAGAAAGAGAGAGAAAAAGAAATGAAAAAGGATTTCTTACTTTGGCCAGTTTGCTAGCAACAAATCTTTTTGGCATCATTGTTTAGCCAATGAAATGTCCTATCTGTCCTTTACTCCTTATCTATCTATCCATATATCAATGTTTTATTGGTTGTAAACCAGAACTTTTTACAATTAACTTAATTATAACTTATGCAACAATAATTATGATAACTTTAAAAAGCTCAGAGTTATAATACACGGACAGCATGAAAAGTAAACAAAACTAAAAATTTAATTGTTATCTTCTTACATCATTATCAATCAGTCAGCGATATCACTCAAAGTGCACAAATGACCAACAATAACAATATTATTAGAATGTTAAATTAAATAATACACATAAACTATGGAAAAAAAATTCTAAATAATAATAATAATAATACTTGTAAGCAATTTTGCTCCTTAGCTTCTGTGACTAATTCGTCCGTATCCTTAAGACTTGTCTCCTCAATATCTTCTTTACCGATCTGTATATCACCACAACTCAAACGTTCTTTAACAGCTTTAAGCTGAAATTTATGAATTAAATCCAAATGATATTTCCTATTATACAGTAATAATTAATACTTCTGATAACAATACAATAAACTAATGCAACAATCAGAAATTCTTAGACCTTCAAGAATACTATTGTTTTTAAGCACAATTTTATGCATTATACATCTCATTCAAAGCATTTAAAAAAGCAAAGAAAAAATCAGTTCACAAGAATGCCTATTTCAAACTGTTTTCAATGCTTTAAATATGAGGATAGCTGTTTATACAAAAAAGAGTAGTTCGATTTTCAAACGAATAATACTTCTTTATCATTATTTACGTTTTTTCTTGCTCTTAAAATATAAGTTTATTAACCATTTATATTACTCTGAAACCTAACACAAAAATATAAACTTATTCAAAACTACAACTGCAATATTTGCAATAGAAAACGTTAAAGCAATTAAGTTAATTTCAATAGCAGAAAAAATAAAAAATGTTAAGCATATTTTCAAAACAAGAAACTGATGGCAGAATTGATATTGAGGTCAAGGAAAAGACTAACCTTGGGGAGGAGAAAAATAGTTTACTTGTTGTCAGAATGTAAGGACAACTTTTTTTTTCAAACAAAGCCAAAGAAAATTTGAGTTGTTTGTTTTTGTAATGCAATCGTTCAAATCACGTCAAAGACAGCAAAATGCTTTCTTTTTTTTGAACAAAATTACAAAAGAAGCAATTTTGAAAAAAAAAAGCCTTCTCAACAAAACAAATCATCACCATTTTGTAACAAAACAATACGTGAAATTTTTCTACCACAAAACATTGCAGAATTTTGTAAAAGAATGTAAAAAACACAATCACTTCGACTTTTTCAATACAATAAAAGTCTCTCACAGTTTTTTTCTGACAATCTTTCCGTTCTTTCTTTCATTTGTTTTCTATTACTATACTATGAGAGAAAATTATGATACATATAAAAATGTAGAAACGACCTTTTTTTCAACAGTACTTACTTTTCTTGCTTTTGCATGCTATTTTTAGTTCAAGAAATAAGGAAATAAAGTAGATGACAAGTTGAACTCAGTTGAGCCACATGATCAAGATACTTTTTATTACACAGTTATTATTGACTCGACAATTTTAATTATCATAAAAACATCTTTGGAAGTAATAAAAAATATGTTAGTTTAGTTTGAATAATTAAATTTAAATAGTCAATAATATTATTCAAATTAAAAAAAATGCATTAAACAACACTCATAATGTTATAGAAATAAAAAGGTTTTGAAACAATCAAAACTTTACAACATAGAGGAGTAAATTATCAAATGGTCATAACAAGAAATAAATTATAAATTTAAAAAACGATCAAACCTGTCTGATAAGATCTTGCACGAGATCAAGTTTAGCATCATATGTGTCAACGCTATTAAGGACTTCACGTAGTGAGTGACCATCAATTAATACACGACATCCATGCTCTGTTTGAGCCAAAATATCCGGAATATCTGCTACACCAGTTGAACCTGATGTGCTGAAAAAAGTTGTAAACAGTGAATGTGGCATCAGTATGCTCGACATGTTATTCAATTATGAGCTCTCAAATATCCAACAATTATTCTGATAAATAACTATAAAAGCTGTTAATTTATAAGCAAAAGAAAGTGAAACTGAACAGCACGACAAATGTTAAATGATTCTTTGATTTAGAATCTAAAAACCAGGAACCAAGAGAAGTTAAAAGCAGAAGATGAATATTACGACGAAAAGACTTTAATTTCTATGCTAATGAAAAATTATTACCAGATTTTTTTTAGATCCATTAAATGAGATCACTGAGATTATCCGAATTATGATTCTCACTTTATTAGACCATATTTGGAACAAAAAAATGTAACTGCAAGCTTCAGTAGTATGTCTGCCATCCGTCCATCATGTTTAATCATTTTCAGAAAAACATTACGTACGACTGTCACTAGAAACCGAAATCCTTCACCAAAATTAACTATTCCTTGCTTACATTATTTCTGATCAAGACAAGTTATTTATCCAAAAAATTTGACTAAATAAATCAGATAATTTAAATAAGAAGAATTTATCTAAGGAAGCATTGAGAATTCGAAAATTCCAATAGCAACAAATTTCAGCGTCACTATTACTAAGCTTAAAAATTTAGTAATTAAAAATTTACATGACTAATTGTATGAACAAGTGGACAATGGTTTCTACAATGAACCATTCTTTATTTGATTATCAGTACTTAGACAGGTCCTTATCAGTAAAGTGAGCTTCTTAATAAAATGTCAACGGTCCACAATAACAAATACATAATTTCATTAATACGATAAGATAAAACTGATAAACGATGCTAGAAGTAAACAGTGCTTCTCTTTACGTTTTCAATTCATTCACTACAGTGACTTACATCTATTTTCTCTATAATTTAGCACGCAAGTAATGACAGCTGTTGACATCATCTACATAAATTATTAAGATGTGAAATTAACGATAATGATATTCAAAAATATCAAATCTTATATAAATCATCCATGAAAGAATTTCACACATGGGTTTTCAACTCCAAAGATTCTAGAATAAATTCATGACTAAAAATAAAAGTCACTATCATTATTATTATTGATAATGCTATTATTATTATTATTATTGTTATTATTATGAATTATTAACATAACTTATAATTAATTACTTACTGATTACTACTTACTAATCTATTATTTACTAATTTTTGAGAGTATGTAAGCTGTCAACTAAATTTCTAAAACTCAGAAGAATAGTTAGGGTAAGTAAAGTAATATATAAGGTTTGTTCGCTGTTAAATTTGTTTGAAAAAGATAAAGATTTTTTATAAAATAAAATTATATCGTAAAAATATGGAAAATAAAAACAATATAAATAATAATTAATTTCCAGACATAAAAAATTATTTCTTTGGTGTTAGTAGCGTTTAATTGAATGACTGAAAAACTCGAATGAGGTTATAACATGCTATCTTTACTTTTTTAATAATTTATTCCACCTATTCATCTTTAATGATAAATACTATTTTAATATCATGTATTTTATTATGTATCCAAACTTTTTGCATCATTTAGCACAAAATAAGATCATTTGATAACATCAAGAAAAGATTAATATAAAATTGCTGAAGAAATAAATGAGTATTAAGTTTCTATCTGAAAAAATCCTTAGCTCAAAATTAATTGCTAATTGTGTATAGAAAATTAATGAAACTTATTTCTAATTTTTGTATGTAATTACTTGAGTAAATAATAAATTCCGAATAGTTTAGAAAAAATAAAATCATTATCTAAAGAATTAGTGAGAGCAAGATAACCGATATCATCATTTAAAACTAATAAAAAATGTTGAAAATCTGCGCTTTTTCTAAATGCTTCCCATATCCCAAATCTCAATTTTTTCACCTGCATTATTATAGCAATAAATGCAAACTGACAGCTAGATATTAGATTTTAGTTTGTGTAAAATCATCAGATAAGTCAGAAAATGATGGGAAAACATATACTACAGGGTAAATTGTTAACAAATCCGAATCCATCAATTTACTATATAAACAATTTTCTTCAACGCAATTGTTTTCAAACAATAAATGTAAAGTAAATGCGTCTCACCATTACATCACTGTACAGCTACTTTTATGCAAATAAACTTCTAAAAATATAGTGAAATTGAGAATAAAGAATAATAATATTCTCAACTTCAAAATTTGATTTTAAAAAGATTCCGCCACAAATATTAAATATTTTTTGCAGTGCTTTTTTCTTTCAACAAAATTTGTACAAATTCTTCAAGTCAACTTAACTTCCTGTAATTTCAACTTTTTTTTTCAAACACTTGTCATAATGATCTCTGACTGAAATTTTTAAAAAATGCTAAAAAAAATTCAAAATCATTAATAATTATGCTTGAACTCTGACTAAGAGTTAGATAAAATAATGCTTATTAATAAGAAAAATAAGTACTATAAATAGTTCAATCGGTTATCTAAATAAAATAATAAAAAATTAAGGCACTAATATAAGAGATATACGCAAAATTAGTTAAATGTGATCTATTGCAGAATTGATGGATCTTTTGATTAATTAGTAATATCAGGAAGAATGCATGAAAATGCATTCGTATAAAGTAAGAACGCCTGTATATTTATGTTCAGTCACGCGCTACCAAATTCATTTTCATACTGCTGTGCTCATATAGAATTTTAAGAGAAGAAAAGAGCAATGAAATGAAAATGAGTATAATGAAAAAAAGATGTTATTAAAGCGAACATCAGGCATTGTTATTATTATTCCAACTACTATCAATTATTCAAAAAATTTTTTTTGGCTTTTCAACTTATCCTTGCCATTAAATTAATTTCTCTGCTTGATATTATAAAGAATAAGTTTTGTTGAAACAGAAAAAAGGAATAATACTTTTTATATAATCTTAGAAATAATTTTGATAAATAAGTAAGACAAACCTTGTATGATCAGAAATACTAGAAGAATCACTTTTAGATGAATACATATGACCACGAGGGGATGACGCAGAAGTAAGCTCCATCATATTTCCATTCTTTCGTATACTTTCTTGCTATAAAACATGAAATTAAAGTTAACTTTAAAATAATTAATACGTTTTTTTTATCAAAGAGATAAGATGCAGAAGTTAGTTTAGAGATAAGATGCAGAAGTTAGTTTACTTCAGCTGTAACTGTATACAAGTAAATTTTTACCTTAAAAATATTATTAAAAACAAGTTGTTTGGAGGATAATTTAATAGACGAATTTGCTTCTGCAAGCATTAAAGAATCTTGTACATCAGCACTTTGAATATCACTTGCAGCCGAAGTGCTTGGCATAGAGTCAACAGATGAAACCGGATTAAATGTTTCTGTGGCATCCAAAAGTCTTATAGGTGTCGTCTTACGACGACCGGACATCTTGCAAAACAACCTTTAATAACAACAGTTCTCAAATGTTTTGTATGCTTTAAGCGATTTTTTACGGCTGGAAAATTACACTCTTCTCGTTGTCACATAAGTATACTTATCAATCAGCATGTTTTCGAACATAAAAACTAAAAACAATCATAAATAATGACAAGAATAGCAAATTGTAACAATTATGCGAATGCAAATATTACTATTTGATACTCAGTGATTACTTTTTTGAAATTTCAACGACACTTAGCATTAATTTTTAACAGCAGCAAGAACAATATAAAACAACATATTGATAAACTAACATAATTAGTTCAATATATGCAAATTTTAAAAACTCTACCTACATGAAACTATGAAAAACGATTAAAAAAACCACATTAAAAGACGAAATAAAGATGAAAGATTAATTTATCAGTATTATGATAAGATATCGTTATGCAAATTACAATGTGCAGCACAGTCATATGCTTTCATTCTATTTAGTATTCTTATATTGTGTACCACGAAGATAATAGCATAGTACTGATAAATTATCAACTGAGAAGTATAAAAATAACCGCAACTGAATTTTCAGTTGCAGTAAGGAGAAAAAGTAAAAAGAAGTGGATAAGAGTGATATTTTGAAGCAAAAATATATCAGAGAGTTAGACTCTCAAGTTAAAGTTCCTGAACAAAGCATATTTTAACAGCAAGAGCAGTAAAAAAGAATGCTCAACCAAAACTAATCGCAATAACGAATGCATTGTCTTCCTTGTAGAAAAGGTTGGTTTTCGAGTAAAAATGATAGAGAAAGTCACCAAATAAAAGTAACTTTTTGCATTCAAATTAACTGCAATCAACTCAATAATTCTCTTTATCAAAAAAGAAATGATAAAAACAATGATGATATGATCTAAATAACTAAGTAACTAATTAACAAGCAAACTAACTAACTAACTAACTAACTGAATAAATAAATAAATAAATAAATAAATAAGTAAATAAATAAAGTAAATAAATAACGCTTTAGCAAGTAGTAATTGTTGGCATGTATGAAGTCTAGAAAAGTAAATGATGAGCAAAGCTGAAGATGACTACTGACTAATACTAACTTAGCTAACAGATAGATAGATATGTGGTAAATGGATGTTAATCGAGTCGAAAGCGTTGGCTTTCTACTACTGCAAAAAGGAAGTTGACAGAATGAAAATGTAATGGTTTAAAGATGGCAAGGTGAGGAAAGCATTAGGCTAATGGCAACTGAGCATTTGTTACCGGATGTTGAGGTGACACGCGATGGATTCATTTGGAGAGATACCGGGAAACCACCGTACACTTGCATAAGCACTCATCCATTATATCTATAATTTCTTCATCTTGTGAGTGCAAAAGGTACGATGACGAAAGCTTTATATAACAACCATTGCTTTAAAACTTTGTTTTTACAAAAAATATTCATTCATTGTCAATGTATTTTAGAATTCTTTGACATATTATCTTACATCTTCATTACATTCATCTTTTACTTTGCTTTCTTCCTCTTCAATGCACAATTTACAGTTTTTCAATCACGCGATAATTTTAATAAATTAAACATTTATGATAATTCTCAATCAGGTTAAGTCAATCTTTGTTATTTACGGCTGCTGTAACACTTATTATAAGTAATATTTTAATCTACTAAGGTTCATTTGCTTACTTAACCTACTCATTACAATCTACTTCTTCATGCATTCATTTAAAAATTATGAATGAATAAAAATTATGCGACAGTAATCAATAAAAAAAGAGTTCTTACATCTTTATCGAAAACAACATATCCGCTAAACAACAGCAGACACTTGCAACGTTTCCTCGATTTATAATAGTTATAAAAAAAAAAACCGATTAAACGGATATTGCACTGAATAATTCATTTTCAACGTTCTATGAACAGAAAAAAGTTAAGATGGGTGCAGATATAAAAGTTTGTGAAACAGGCTGTAGTAACATAATACTTGGAATGTTACAAATAAACCACAATTAATTAATTAATTAATTTATTTATAAACAAGCGAAAAAACACAGCAGTGTAGTCTTACGATTAAACTTTAAACAGTACTCAAGTGTCTCTATGGTAGAATTTTGACAAAGTGCAATGTCTGAAGCAAAAAAAATTAAAAAATTTTAAAAAATAAAAAAATAAAAAACAAGACAGCGGAATTAAGATAAGTATTAACAATCACGAATAGAAAAAATAAAAAAAAAATGTATTAAGAGAGTACATTTGTGAGTTCAAAACACGGATTTTAAAATGCTCACCACATGAAATAATGATAATATCTCAATTGATAATTATTTAGCTGCGAAAATTTGATGCTATTTTTCATATCAATTTCATGTTTTTAGAATCACTACTTTTCGGAATTGATACTAGAGAAAAAATAAAACCAAACAAGTGATCAGCTAAATTACATTAAGATGATCAACATAAATTGATGATGCATGTGTAACTGCTAATGATAAATAATAGTTCAAAAAAAAAATAAATAAACAGTTGGTTACATTTCAGTTCTTCCTCATCAATCTCATTCTGAAATTTCTCCTCATTTTCAACTTTTATATTTTATTCATGATGGCATAAATGAAACTACGGTCAGCATTCTTGTTCTTTTTTTGGACTGCGATATTCAAAAAAAATTTCTATCGATATAAAAATAGAAAAAAAAAAGCTATTCAATATCAATTATTAGTCTAATTCTAGATGAAATATGTTAAATCTCTGTGACAAGCACTAAATGTAATTACTCCAGAATGCTTGACAAAAATGAATGAAAGAATTTGGTCTCATTTATATATTGATCAAACGTAGTTAATAAATAGTGAATTCAACACTGATATAAAGAGAGCAATTTTTTCATCACTGACATGACAAAATAATTAGTTACAAGAAAAGTTATAAAATGAATAGGGTGTTCATTAAACCTTAAATTTCAAGACTTAATAATTAAATATTAATAGACAGAGCACTATGGTCAAATATATGTGCCTCTTAAGATCAGTAAAACTTTTTTTATCATTAAAATAATAATTTTTTAAAAGGTGGCTGGAATTACTAAACATGATAGAAGTGAAATAGATAAGAATAAAAGAAAATCATTTTCTTAAGCAGCTTTACCCTCCTTCTGACAAAATACAGCATACAAAGTCTGTTTATAAATGGTTCGATGTTTTCAAATTGTATACCAAAATCGCTCTTGTGATGGAAAGAAATGGGCTGGAAATGAAGATGGTGTTGTCCATTATAGTGCTAATCATGTTCGCCATTTTCATGAAATGCAAGAAAGCAGCAATGTTTGTTGTCGTTGATGTGTGGTTTCCTAACTTCAGAATATATTCATTTTTTCTCCTTTTTAGCTACATAACAAACTATCTTACATTCTATTTACATTTCATTGTTAATTATGTTAAACAAATTTTATCATCACATTTTCAAAATATTTTCCACTTCTACTTATAATCTCTAAAATAATAATGCTAAAATCTCTAAAATAATAAAAATAACATGTAAATTATTTCAAACTTCCCTACAAAGAATGACTTAAAATAAATATCGGAAAAAAAAACTTGATAACCAAATCTTGCTAAACTAAATATCACACGAAAATCTTTTTATGTATGAATCACTTAGTTCAAATTCATCCTCTCAATACTTTTTAATCATTTAACAATACTTGTTCAGTTAAAAATTATAAATCCTAATAGTTTTTCAAAAAAAAAAAAAAGAAAAAAATGTTTTCAGTAAAAATGCTTTCTACAAACTGCTTATGAATACCATAAAATGAAAACAACACTGCAAGCATTCTTGAATTTATCTAAACCATGACATTTTTATGAATAAGCCATTGATGAATTATTGTTTTTATGAAACCAATGAATTTATGCTGTACAAACATATTGTAGAAAAAAAAGTGCTTAAATCATGATCTGTTGAATGAAATAGTAAATATAAACTTTTTGTAATAGTTATTATCACATTATCAAAACATGTGGAGTATTTTTTAGGTGGGAATATTAATAATTTGAAAATTATGAACAAATAATAAAACTGTTAGCTGGAAAACACATTCTAATATATTGGATTATCTATTAAGTGAACACTACACAGTTATTTTGGACATATATAAATAGATATGTATTCAAAAAATTAAAATATGCAAAAAGAATGCAGGGAATTGAGCAAGGTAGTCAATCCAGTAAGAGTATTTCTCATGCACACAAATTGAGGTGCAAAGTGTTGCTAAAATAACCCAAAAAATTATCCTACCAACTACACATTCTTACATACATACATATACACAGGAGTACTTTGAGCGCTTTCTCGACTAGTTGCAACGAATTTTAAAGATGGAATAAAGGGAGTGAAAAAAAAGAAATTAACATAAGAGCGATAATGTATGTGATTGAGATTAGTGGAAAGATGAAAAGCACAAATGAAGAGATGTGTTTATTGTTCAAGTTTTAGAAGCTTTAAGGATTGTGAATGGCCGATCAGACAAGGGTCTGCTGTTTGTAAAGAGATAAATGCGATCGACGGCTTGGCTGCAACAATGCTTCTTTGCAAGATGAAGTAGAAGTAAGCAGAGTTCAGGCTCTTCTTGCTACTGCTAAATACTTTCCAGCAAACTTACTCTTAATTCTCGTTAATTAATCACTTCCTTCTACATCTATCCGTTTTCGAGAATGCCCTTCAGGTCGGCCATCTCTTAGCAAGTTTTCCTTCATACTCTTTGCTACACTTATCCACACTTGTTCAATCATTGTAACCTTCTTATTCGCTAACATGTGGCCTTTAAATCAGTAAACTGACTCTTGCACATAACACAACAACAACAATTTTTAAATACCAACTGTATCAAATACATATCAAAATTTATGTAAAATTTGAAAAAAGATAAAAGAAATTGATGGCGCAGTAATTAAAATTAAACTGCGTATCCATAGTTTATCACTTTTTTTACTTTAAAAGTTAATATTTG